GACATTAAATATACTTGGACAACGCTGTAGTAGTAAATCAGGCTCAACGACATTAAATATACTTGGACAACGCTGTAGTAGTAAATCAGGCTCAACGACATTAAATATACTCAGACAACGCTGTAATAGTAAATCAGGCTCAACAACATTAAATATACTTGGACAACGCTGACTGATTTACTACTACAGCGTTGTCCAAGTATATTTAATGTTGTTGAGCCTGATTTACTATTACAGCGTTGTCCAAGTATATTTAATGTTGTTGAGCCTCATTTACTACTACAGCGTTGTCCAAGTATATTTAATGTCGTTGAGCCTGATTTACTACTACAGCGTTGTCCAAGTATATTTAATGTCGTTGAGCCTGATTTACTACTACTCAACGACATTAAATATACTCAGACAACGCTGTAGTAGTAAATCAGGCTCAACGAAAACTTTCAGGTTATTTCAGACATTTGGTTACTGACCTGATTAAGAATCGGGTAATGGAAGAAAAGATTCTTTTCCGCGTCCCCTGGATCTAGGTCCTGTCGATATTTATTCTTAATTCAAGATAGATGGGCCGAGTGTGACCTAATAGCTAGCGTGCTCGGACTGTGAATCCGACGGTTCAAGGTTCGTGTCCCTTTCCTCCAAATCTCGCTCCACATTCTGAGGACGTGGATACTCTAAAAATAAAGTAAGGTAAGGTCATATACCATTATTCGTTCAGACAAGAGTAGCCCGGGAATTGGTGGTGGGTGCTATTGACTACCTGCCTTTTCCTTTGTCTATCAGTTCAAAATTAGGGATGGCTATGCAAAAATTGCCCTTTGTGTAGGTTTGAGCAAAAATTTTGAAAGCAGGTAAATTTTACAATGTGCTCTATTTCATTAAAGTTTCAAACATCATTGTTACTCTTATTGTATTTGACGCTTTCTGAAGAATATATATGACTTGTAATCCATACAACGGAATTAAACTTATAGCATTTGAATATTTAAACTGTTATCTCAAGGATCGGTGCAGAAATAAAGTTTTTGTTTGTTTGTTTGTTGTTTTTTGTTTGATTATAATAGTATATTATCAGTTTTCAAATTTGTATATACATAAAAGTAGCCTGTAGATAAAATCACATTCGGTATCTGAGTGTACATTATACAGTGTAGGAAATGTTAACTACTTGCTGTAAAATGTGACATTCGGTATCTGAGTGTACTTTATACACTGTGTGAAATGTCTAATACCTGCTGTAAAATGTGACATTCGGTATCTGAGTGTACTTTATACACTGTGTGAAATGTTCAATACCTGCTGTGAAATGTGACATTCGGTATCTGAGTGTACTTTATACACTGTGAAATGTTCAATACCTGCTCTTAAATGTGACATTCGGTATCTGAGTGTACTTTATACACTGTGTGAAATGTCTAATATCTGCTGTAAAATGTGACATTTGGTATCTGAATGTACTTTATACACTGTGTGATATGTCTAATATCTGCTGTAAAATGTGACATTCGGTATCTGAATGTACCTTATGCGTTGTGAAATATTCAATACCTGTCGTGAAATCTGGCATTCGGTATCTGAGTTTACGTTATATACTGTGTGAAATACTCAATATCTATCGTCAAATGTAACATTCGGTATCTTAATGTACGTTATACACAGTCTGAAATGTTCAATACCTAACATTTTATTCCACAGATTTGGCATAGAGACGTGCTAATGGGCATCGTCTTATGGCAAAAAATAATTAGATTACTTTCTAAGTAAATCTAAGATCACACGCATACCGCAGTTTTTGGCTCCAGAGAGACTTGGGACTGACATAAAGTCACTCTGTTCTTTCTAATATACAAAACTGTAACTGAAAACTAATAAAATAAGCACACGTCAAGTCATCTAGTTAGTAAACTGTATCCATCACGATAGCAGTATTAAACATTAAGTAATATTTTCTCACATGTAAATGTCAGATGGTTATAAACAGGTGCATGTTATCATTTTATCTGTGTTATTTATCCAGTTTCTTAGATAAACATTTAGTTGAAGTTACATTTACATAGTAATTGCAGAAAATAAAAGCTTCTCAAATTAACCAATCAAAGGTTGGTCAGCTAGTTAACTTCTCGTATTGGCCAATCAAAAGTAAGCCAACAAACATACACTGTTAAAAGAAACAATGAGACTTGTAATTAGCATTTTAAATCAAATTTTGTCTGAAACAAATCCTACAGTAATCTGTTAACCATAATTCTAAAAGGGTATATAATAGTTTTGTACAAGTTATTTATATAAATGTGTGTTTCAAATATTGTTTTAAATGTGGGAATTATTTTAAATTATACTTTCATGTGGTATACATGCTTGCTTGAAGAAGAAAGTCTCCTGAATGGTTAAGAACATAACTAAAAATACTGACATATGTTTCTTATAAATTTCATATTTACGTATTTGTCCTAGCGCAAAGCCATACAATAGCTATCTGCGCCCTTTCCACTGCGTAGATCGAACCCTGGATTTTAGCACTGTTAGTTCGTAAACTTACTACTAACTCCAAGTTTGGAGAGGAAAATAAAGTTCGGATGCGATATGTTAAAAATATATCCGTTTCAATAGCTGAGATCATTGGCTATCTTATTAATTAACAAATCAAAAAACGTTCAGCTTTTGTTTTACCACCCTGCACTTGCTATGAACGTCTAGTAATGTTAAACCGAAACACATTTCTTTTCGCTATAAAACTGAACGTGTTTTTCGAAACGGTGGCAGCACTGTGAATTACATTGTCACGTATTTGTTTTGTCAACGAAGATCGGCGTCACAAAAAGACACGCTTCTAACAGCTGCATCATGCACACTTGTTTTATTTTTACAAATTATAATCTAATACAACATAGCAACTAGTTACAGCACCGTTGACTACAGCGGTTTAAAACAAGTTTCACATTTTTTCAAGGTTATTTACTGGTCTCTCAAGTGGCATAAACATCCACGTTGTTAATAACGAAAAAACAAAATAATATTCCCTCTCGTAACCATTCACACGCTCTTGTGGACGGACCGGATAGTCTGAATATTAAATCTCAAACTTAGCAGTTTTATACTTATGCCACAGAAAATATGTTAACGTAAACAAGAATATAAGCCACGTGAGTTTTGCAATTTGAGAGAATTGTAGACTAGGGTGGATTTTAACATTAATATTAACACCACGTAAATGATATACAAAAAGAGACGTAACGAAAAGGAAGCTGCGTTTACACCTTTCATTACCACTACTTTCTGTACAAGCATTCATTAATGATAAAAATAATAACCCTTCACAACTAATTTCATAAACTAACTCCTACTCCCCTTTATTCACAAAGTAATTGATATTCCAAAAACGTTATTACGTGGCAGTGTGTAACTGTAACCCTAAGTTACGCAACGCAACGCTCAAGCACTGGTACGAAAAAGTAAATGTACAGTCACCAAATTCAGACAGCTGCACTTAGACGTCACTGTTAAAAATTTATTTCTTTTTTTAAGAATTCAGAGTTCTCCAGAAAGTTCAGTATTTTATATAACTTATTATCTTTAAAAGCACTTCTTCGCTTTACAACCGCGTAAAAACAGTTAAACTGAGTAAATGTAATTACGCTTCAAATACTTTTTGTCAGAGCCTCCAAACAGTGGTTTGTAAGTTACTCCCTAAATAAAACATTCAGTACTAGATGTAGCTTGAATCCATCACTAAAACATTTCCTTCGGCTTTATATTAGAAATCAGTTGAGAGTTAAGTTACGAGTTTTGTGATGAGAAATGTACATTAGGTAAATAACTAACTGACCATCATATATTTCAATAGTTATCTTTGTGATGTTTTATCTTGTATAATACTTCACATGGTACATAGAATCTCTGTATGATGAACAAAAAAATGGCCATGAAATACAGAAAAAAACACATTGTGTTCTAACGGTGTACAGAAACAACTTAAACAACGCAATGGTTACTCTAAAATGCTATTGGATTCGTAAATCACTTTTCAAAACCAGTACAAAATACAACACGATTGAGTTATACGAATTTCTGTTAATTTTTGCTAAAACTGCACAACTAAAATATGCGTTTCTGTGGACTTCATTGGCATGTCTTCGGAATCTAATCTATATACTAAACATTTGAGGACTAAATAATAATACACTTCAAGTAATATTTTGATTATTCGTTCATGTAAGTTTCAATTAAGTTCTACGGATAAATAAACACCTCCAATTTGTTTACACTTTTTGATTTATGTTACTTATAATTTCTCAAGCCAACATGTTATAACCACTGTATGATACAATTGACAAGACATGATTTTCTATACAATTTTGTACTTCGTATACAATTTCATATAAGTAACTTAACATACGAATTTCATCACCTGAAAGGTATCACCAGACAATTCGATACACTTGACTGAACAGTAAAAACTTAATTTTACTTAATTTTTGACTTCTTTATCAAGAAGTAGCAGCTTCTGTATTGTTAACACACAAATCATGAAATTTGCACTGTAGACAAACACTTCATTTTCTGTTGTTTTATCTTATTTCCTGATTTCACCTCTTTAACGGGCAAATCACTTCCTTTTCTGTTTTTTGATGTTTTATCTTATTTCCTGTTTTTAACTTGTTAACAGCAAATCACTTCCTTTTTTGTTTTTCAGACTGCTTTATTTTATTTTCCTATTTTTACCTTGATAACGGGCAAACAGGTAAATCACTTCCTTTTTTGTTTTTCAGACTGCTTTATCTTATTTTCCTATTTTTACCTTGTTAACAGGCAAATAGGTAAATCACTTCCTTTTTTGTTCTTAGACTGGTTTATCTTACTTATTATTTTTACCTTGTTAACAGGTAAATCACTTCCTTTTCTGTTTTTAGTCTGCTTTACCTTGCTTCCTATTTTACGTTGTTAACATGCAAACAGATAAATATCTTCCTTTTCTGTTTCTTAATCTGCTTTACCTTACTTCCTATTTTTACCTTGTCAACAGGCAAACAGCTAAATCACTTTCGTTTCTGTCTTTCAGCTTTCTTCAACTTATTTCCTGTTTTCACCTTGTAGAAAGTTAATTTGTACTAATTTCCCGTAATGCAACTTTATAGGTCATGAATGCTTCATTTGATTTACATTGTTAGTAAAGACCACGTATTACAGCATGAGTAACGTTTTTCAACAACGACACACTCTACCGAGATCACGGAACTTTAACTTTATAGCAGAGTTCGTTATGATGTGGACACCATTAATGGACAGGCCATGACCGTGACGAAGAATCAGGGTCCTCAGATGTTGTAAGGGATTTTGTTGGATCAGCCATGTAGCTAGAGTGTCGTTCAGCCCATGACTGCAGTAAAGTTCAAGGTATCGAAGGCCCTGGCAATGTTTCAATAGAATCTTAATTGCATCTGGAGTTATTCTTCTGTTAACCTGGGGCCGTAGCCTGAGAAAACGAAGTTTAGTAAAAGGTTTAACATTACCGTGTACTGTTCCAGTTCCCAGAATTGTGAACCACTGGGCGTTGAAGGCACGCAAGTTAGGGCATGTTAACGCTGTTTTTACTAAATCAACTACATCAAACTGCTCGAGGTTTAAACGGTGTATTCTTTCTCCACAAGCTTTTAACAAGGGCAAGACTTCCTCTGTATAGGAAGCGGGAAGAGTTGGGCTGTTCCTAAGTTGAAGAAATTGCAAATGTGTAAGTTTAGCTATAGGTATTAAACTCATTCCTTCTTGTACCTCTAAAGAAATCTCTCTTAGGTTCGGGCACCATTGAACAAGCCTGCTAACACTATCATCTCCTAATGGGTGGGTAGCTTGGACGCCCCGAAGATGGGAAAGGCGTTGAACCCAGAATATTGGGTCTTTAAAATTTGACAGTTCGTCTAACATTTGTTCTAAATAACCACAATGTAAATATTCTATATTGTGAAATGTTTCCAGTAACATTAATATTGATTTTCCGTTAACAGAAGATGGCACACGTAATTCATTTAAGCTGTACCTCATTGCCCACCATGACCCATCCGTTAGAATCTTTCTAGTTATGCTCAGAACGTCCTGTTCGTCTAGAGAAGGATGCAAAATTTCCAGAGTATGAAGGCTTCCACACTGCCGGGCTATTGTCTCAAGTTCCTTCCCGCCCTTAGTGGTATGTTGCAGTTGGAGTCTTTGGAGGTTAGGAGTGGATTCTAACAATCTGTGGAGAAGAGATACACTTTCCTTTCGGTAAAGCCAATGTCCAGCAACTCGAAGCTCTCTCAGTGTTCGACCGTGATTAATCAAAATGCCCAGTAACATCTGAACGTCCGGAAACTTACAATCTTCGATACATCCCAGATCAAAGGATTCGATTCCGGATCCCACCAGTAACTCTGCTGCTCGTAGAAGTTGTTTGCCGTCAGGACGAACTTTCACAAGGGAATTCAGCATGTCTTGTCGAAGATGAATCGGGTAAAGGAAGAAAGGATTCTTCTCCGCGTCCTCTGGATCTAGGTCCTCTCGATATTTATTTTTACTCCAAGATAAAAGAAAATCGGAAACGGTACCTAGACAAGACTGCTTCAGGCTACACTGTGGTAGCATCCTGCTGCAAGTCTTGTCAGGCCTTTCGAAAACACGAGGTAGCTTTTCTGTATGCTGGTTCATGCCCCTGTTCCGCTCGAAATGAGCCCACATAGTTCCTAACTCAGTACTCCGTCTCTTCCGTTCGAGATCGCAAGGAGGGAGGGCAATCATGCACTGTGCACGTGAACATGTTTACGAGGTCCGACCTTGCAGGGGCCACGCTGCTAGGTCTAGGAACTAGCAACAAATATACACCTCTACACAGAACGAATGAAAAAGGATGAATCAGCGCGAGTGGTCAAACGTACCTGTTTATCACGACACAGCTATATCTACATGATATGTGCGCTTGACAACAGAGAAATCAAGGTCCCTGGGAAACACATTGTTCGGTTGACTTTGTTTCAAAGCACACCTAGTTTCGTGGAGTTAACAGAAAAATTGTTTTTAAATACTCAGTAAATTATTTAGTGACATCTTTATTTGCTGGTATCTATAAGTTTAGATAAATCTTTCTTAAAGCTAGAGGTGTCTTCTTTAATCGTAAAAATACATGACTTAAAAATGATAATGGTATAAATTTAATAATGTGACTTTTGTGTAACAAAGAATATCTTAACTTTAATGGTGGACGCTTTACTAACCACAGCAACTAACTATACAGCGATGCAAGTTGAACTTATCATGTTAACTGATAGTGAATATTAACACATAGAGAAGTTAAAAATACAAGAGTTAACAATATATTTGTTGATTCTAATTTCGAGCAAAGTGTAAGGGAAAATAATACAAATAACTTGTTCATCAAATATAGATTTAGTTGTGCAATAGAGAAAAGGAGATCAACAGTTTTATTTTCCACTGTTATAAGCTTCTTATTTCACGAACGTCAATACTTAACGTGGTATTCGTACATTTGTTTGACAGTTCATGACCTGTTTTCCTTCTCCAGCTCGTTTGTCAGCAGTGGGATCAGTAAAACTTGCGATAAAAAAAAGGTCACTAACAAGAACTAAAATTACGTAACAAATGCGTCATTACGTCACGTGATAGCATTTGATACGAACCAAATATATATATATATATATAAAAGTAAAACTTATCTGCACAAAATAAAGATGATGGAAATTCTTCAGACCTCGTTAGTGATTTTTGGACATTGTTTTATTATATAATACGAAAGATAAATTATTTTTGGAAGAACATATTCCCAATGTCAAGGGACAACGCTTACATAAACAAGATTATAAGTGTTAACTAACCATAGGCGGCGGAACAAATTTGAATTTGGGTGGAGCATCGACGACTGGTGAAAAGTTATTTGCTATGTTAACCGTGACAATTATATTCAAAGTTGAAACAACGCCTTGCCCTGATAATTATACTAAACAACGCCTTGCCCTGATAATTGTACTAAACAACGCCTTGCCCTGATAATTGTACTAAACAACGCCTTGCCCTGATAATTATACTAAACAACGCCTTGCCCTGATAATTATACTAAACAACGCCTTGCCCTGATAATTATACTAAACAACGCCTTGCCCTGATAATTATACTCGAGTCTCCATTCAAATAGGCACTTCGCTACCTGATCAAAATTTGGGGACACGTGCCCCCGGTTCCGCCTACTGTATAATCTAACTTATCATTAATCTCTACTTTACTGTTTACCCATCTGTATATCTATCTATATGTATGTATGTATCTACATGAAATAAACTGCAGTCGATATTAAAGATAAAATATCAAATAAAACATTTCAACTTATTAGTTTTCAAAAATAAAAATAACATGAAACTTCACGTAAGGAAAATAGTTCTTTACAGGACGTATTTCGATTCACGTAAACAAGGCCTAAAAACTTGGAATGTGTTACTAGGTAAAATTATCCTTGTTTTTGAGTTTTGGAGGTGGAATGTATTACTAGGTAAAATTATCCATGTTTTTGAGTGTTAGAGGTGGAATGCGTTACTAGGTAAAATTATCCATGTTTTTGAGTGTTAGAGGTGGAATGTGTTACTAGGTAAAATTATCCATGTTTTTGAGTGTTAGAGGTGGAATGCGTTACTAGGTAAAATTATCCATGTTTTTGAGTGTTAGAGGTGGAATGTGTTACTAGGTAAAATTATCCATGTTTTTGAGTGTTAGAGGTGGAATGTGTTACTAGGTAAAATTATCCATGTTTTGAGTGTTAGAGGTGGAATGT